CTTATTTCCTGATCATAAATACAGCCTTTGGGCCCTGGCAGCATGGCCCACAAAGCCCACCCGTCTCTAGCCTAGCCAAGCTTTCTAATGAAAGAGGTTGGAGATTTGGAACTGCTAAACTTAAAGACATTGAAATTTGAAGGGTGGCAGTGGGTTGTGAGAAATCTATGCACTCCTCCCCTCCCTGTAACCTGCTGACATGTGTGATGGCCTGGATACACCTTTTCCTGTCTCCTCTGATGGCCCTTCAGACCCAGGCTCAGGAACTGGGTTGACTGGAGGGGCTGGAGCTGTTCTACCCCTCCAAAGTTAAAGCAGCACCAGTTCCCAGGACGGGTTGTCCCTGGGGTCCCGTGGCTACACCAAAGCCAAGGTAAAGGCAGACAGGATAAATCTTGTACCTTCCTCACCCCCGAAAATATTTTACAGGCCTGAGACCTCCTCTAAAGGGCTGTTCTTTCTTCACACAAAGGCCAAACAGCCAGTGGGAGCACAGGGCTGATACCCAGAGCTGGTGCTGTCATTGGGGTGAGAATGTCCTGACAAGGACCACAGAGCCAGGGTGCAACAAAACACTTGGTCAGGGTATCCTGGAAGCAAGAAAGGTGACTGTGCTCCCGTTTTGTTTTACCCTTTACTTTCCACTGTGTTGCAGATGCAGGAGTTGCTAATGCCAGGCCTCTGGAGCCTCAGCTGGCCAGTTGGCCCTGTGCAAGGTTTTGCACATAGGAAAAAATCATGCAAATAAACTGCTGACTCTGGTTCAGGATCCTGGGGACTTCCTTCTCCAGAGCACCAGAAAGCCACAGACTCCATGAAGCTTTTGTTTTGGCCCATGATGAGCTGGCAAGAGCCCCTCTCTGTACCCTGAATATCCGTGACACCCCGCTGTCATCCTCCAGGAGTTGTCCAGACATTTCACAGTGCTACTGAGACAGCCGTGGACAAGAGCAGCTCTGCTTTCCCCTTCACAGCCCAGTCAGCTTCAGTGCTCCCGCTGGGATGTCTCCATGAGGGAATGGTAAACATAGGCAAGTCCTGAAGGACACACTTTCCCCAAACAAGAAATGTTAAACAATGTCTCTGTGTCCCCATTGTTTTCCTAACTCAAGGCATTTCCTTTGTTGTAACTGTGACCTATAAAGTGGCGCTTTAGAGGGTTTTATAATAAAATGTTGAGTATATTATGTTAGCAGTGGTTTTCTCAGTAATGGGGCTTGTCCCAGCTGTATTTTCCAACAGATTTCAAGTACATCAAATCCCCAATACATTAGTTACTACAAATCCTTCGCTATGCAGTCTACAACTGCAGTGAACTATAGCTTAAATAGTAGTGATTGCACCATCAAGAAAAACAATTTTCAGAGATCTAACCCGCTGAAAAACAGCAGTAACCCCGACAATTTACAGGAAGACACGTAACAGATATCCTACCTGTATCTCTGTAGCAGTCCTCTTGCACAGAACCAGCAGTGAAAAACCTTCCACTACCTTCCTCTGGCCACTAGATAGCAACTGTGTGCAGGCTTAGTGCCTGCTGCAGTCCGAGGGAAACCGGGATGGGCTTTAGCTGGGACGAGAGAAAAAAGTTATTAAAGAAAACAGTTGAGGTCTGTACAGAATGGACACCAAAAGAGACACACGTGTGAAATATCCCTTGGTGGCTCCACTCCCACAGACAGCTTGGGGAGGCACTGGAGCTGCAGCACAAATTCCTGGGCCAGGTCCCACTCGTTGCCTCTCCAAGCTGACCCCTGACACAAACCTGCCAAGGAGCTCCTTAGTGTCCTGTCAGCCTCTGAGCCCAGGAATCCCCAAATAACTCCATTTTGGGGGCTGGTTTTGTGCACTGAGTGCACAGCAGCAGCAACTGCTTTTGTCCTTCCCCAGCATCTCTGCCCCATTGCCTATAGCTGCTTTAGAGCACCCCTGTATCAGCTCCAGCTGGTAAAATTGCTGCTTTGTTAGACATTCCACTGCAATCCTCCAACTGGAGCCAGGCCACACTGGGGCCTGAAGTGTCCCCAGCAAAATTCCATATCCTTCTGGAAGGAAATTTCCTGCTACAGACCATTTTCTTTAGCAAGTTTCTCATTTAAGTACCTCCACATTTCTTGCTTTGGATACACAGAACCCCACAAAAGCTCCTGGGTATTCCTGACTAGCACACCAAGGCTGCTAGTGAGCATGCTAATTTCCCAGTAAGACAGAAGTGACAGATTTTAAAGGAAAGAAAAAAAATTACATCATATCAGTGGAGAAGTTGGCCTGAATGTTTATGTAAGATGTCTCAGGTATGAATCAAATTAATTTACTTCTACTGCAGAGATTGCAGGGGGGTTGAAGCTGAAGAAGCCAGCTGGCTTTACAGGGAGTATCAGCAGACTTCTTGCAGACTGGCCTTGGTTTTTAGTATGCAGGGAGAATGGCACAGTGGGATCAAACCCCAGCTTCCCTGCTGCAGCCTTTGCAGGACAGCTGCCGTCCAACATTTACTCACCACAAACAGTTTGCTGAGGGAGTGTAAGACTAAAGGGGTTGAAAATCGTGGCACTTGCTTAAATCCCATTTTTAAAGGAGAAAAAGGCTCTCTCCTGGAGTTAGCAGTGGCCCAGGACTAGCCAAAGCTCACCCAGCAATCCTCCAGGATTCAGAGACTAATTCAGAGCTCCACTAGCAACAGCAGCCCAGACACTCATGACAAGCTGGCACAGACAGCATCCTCTGAGCTCCTGTGATGCCAGACAGGATTAGTGCTGGCTTTGCAGGGACCCCACCTCCCCAGAGCCTGGGCCAGCCTCAAATATTGACCCAGCCTTAAGGGAATGAGCTCCCATCAGGTAAAGGCTATTAAAGACTTCTGATTGAATCATGGCAAGTCTGAGAGTGAATTGAATAAGGGATCATGTCAGAGATTCAAGCCACTTACCTACTTACTCTTTTTTAATTAAAATTTGTAAAAAAAAGGGCCTGCAGATTAGCCAGGAACTTCAAGTCACATTTGAAAAAGAAAACAGCTCCAAAAACTGCTCAGCAGTGTCCTGCTTGCCTGTGGGATCAGCAGATCTCTCCACGACCATCCCATAGATCCTCATTATCAGGCTGGCTTTTCCCATCTCCTCCCAGTGCCCCGTGACCTTCTTACCTTGCAAAGTGCTTTGTCTCATACAAAAGGAGAGCTGGTGGGTGCTGCTGCTGCCAGAGAGTGTCTGAGCATCTATCCAAGGCTTCAGGAATCACCTGCTTTCAGCAGGAATGTCAGGAGGAAGGTCACATGTGGGGATCCCTGGGGCACTAAGACCTCATCCAGCTGTACTCAGAGCCCAAAAACTCATGAGTTTCCAATCTCTCACATCATCTCTACTTGACAAATGGATGCACAGAGATAGATAAATCCTGCCCAGCATTAAATTCTTGACTCCAGCATGAGATTTTGCACTCTGTGCTTCCTGAATCACACAGAGATGTTTGTGTACCTGTGGTGCTTAAAGCCAGCAGGATGGTAAAAATGCAGGGTTTTTCCAGGTCAGGACCCAGGCAAGCCTGCCCTGTTCGTTGTGCAGCCCACAGGTATAATTAATACCTGTGCATTAAAATAAAGAACTCACAAACAGATTTCACCACATTAGCCACAAGCTGAAGTGCTCAGCAGCAGCACTGTGCATGCTGTCCTGCAAACAGCACGAGGAGAAGCACTTGCAGAAGGCCAGGAGGGCAGGTCCCAGCTCCAGAGCTGTCCCAGGCAATGTGAGTACACTGCTGTTTGAGGGCAGGCTGATCCTGCAGAGGACAAAGACATGTGAGGAGCGAGCTAATGATGCTGTTAGGAAACGCCCAGGGAGCTGCAAAGCCAGCAGGGTGAGAAGGGGGGTCCCTGGGACCCTTCACACAAACAGGATGCACTCTGCTTTCGAGAGCAGTCGGTCTGGAATGCAGCCAGCTCCACAGGCACTTCTGCACCCCAGCATGAACCACGGCTGTGCTGTGAGCCTGGCCAAGCCCATTCTCCCCACATCAGGAGAACACTGACAGGTTAACAGCAGAGGCAATGCTGAGCTACAGCCATGCCTGAGTAACATGAATAGATTCATTTCCCTTTCATCCCAAATGTCAGCCCTTCAACTAAGCCTCTGTTCAGCTGTGCCTTAGGACACAGACAATCTACCAAAGTGACAGTGAAAAGAAAGCAGAATTTCCTCTTTCTCCCAGCCTGGTTTCTCCCACAAGGCACGACAGTGCTCCTCCTGTCTCAGTGCCAGCTTTCATCCCTGAGAGTGCTTTCAGACCATTCTTCTTCTGACAACAAACCTGCTGAGCAATTTGTGTCTCTCTTTGTCCATCTAATGTTACTATTCAAACACGGGGCCAGGATTTCTGAGTGAAGGGATTTTTCTTCTGCTGGGAACAATAGACTCTATTCTCATGAGCACTGGCAGCCACAGTTAATATCTCTGCCCGGGCTCTCTGCAGACCTGGTTGTGCTCTCCTGAGGTGACAGACACCATGGGAAAGTCAGCAGACAACAACCCAGCACTGGGAAGCATGGGCTTTGGGGGAGCAGTTCTGTAAATTTTACAGGTTTGGGGGAAAATTGATCTAGCGATGAGGTGAAGCTGATGCTCCAAAGGATGCAGGCATGTGGCCAAACTGTCTTTGGAGACATGAACCATCACAGCCCAATAAATTCAGAGAAGAAAGCAGCATGAGCAACCTAAAGAGAAACAGAATAAAGACTTGTAATCAGTTCTCCTTCCTCTTCCTCTGTCTTCCTGCATGTAATGAGCTATTCACTCCAGCACCTGGCTGCAAGTGCATCATCTGTTATACCCCTTCAGCACGAGCTCAGAATTGCTCAGACTTCTGCGTATTTTTAGACTAACAGATCTCTCAAAATCTGTTTAAAAACCCCAAAACAATCACAACCTTAAGACCTGCATGAGGAAATAAAAAATGCCAGAAAGAAATACTTAAACACAAATATTTACTTCAATTATAAAAGATAGAGAGTGCTCGGGGGCCCAGTTTGTGCAATTCAGGAATTGGGAATGGCCTCAACAGAGTCCCTGTGCTGGAGCAGCTCCATCACTGCCAAGGGCTGGATGGTGGCTGTGGGTGGCAGGAAGTGCTCCTGGATGGAGAACTGCAGCACTCAGCACATCCGTGTCAATGCCTCTGATCCATTTGCCTTTTGCTGTGCTGGAGGGCTCTGGAGAAGTGCTGCAAACCCCTTGGACTCCACTGCACATGGGAACCTGGAGGAAGGGCTGGAGATCTCGGAGAATCCCCCCGGAGAACTCCTGTGGCAGAAGAGAGCACAGATGGGGATGAGGGCTTCAGGACCAAGGGATAAGGTCACAGTCCACAACAACCAAACAACCATTCCCTTAGATGACAGATATTAGAGGCCACAGGCTGGAAACCAGAATTCATGTAAAAAGCAAAATATTGGGCAAGGGGAAAACGCACTTAAATTGAGAACTTCAAGCTATGGGCACAGGGCCACCTCTAGAGAGCCAGAAACTCCCCACCTCCTCCCTGCTGAAGAGAAGGAAGGCAGTGGGGAGGCTTTTACACCATGGACAGCATTGAAAGGAGTAGTGAGGGAAACAGCTCCCTCCCATTCCAATCTTTCCACATGGGGAGCCTAGGAAAGATTGCTTCTTCTAGCATGGCAGAGGGAAAAGGGGAACAGAACAGAGTGGAAGATTACCAAAATTATTAGACCTCCTTGGACTCCCCTCACAGTCAATTCACTCAGTGAATGTATAAAAATGCACAGCTTTTTGAGAGAAGCCCTTGCTCCCCTCAGCACCCAAACCTCTCCACTTTCCGTAAGATAGAGACCACACCAGCACCAAGGCCTGCCCACCAAAGAGCTGTCCAGGAGTTACAGCCATTTCCCTGCTTCAGGGAGAGGTGGGATCAGTTTGGAGGGGCTGCTGGTCCTTACTGGTCTCGCAGTGGGGTCCCTCCCAGCCGTGGCACTCGCAGCGGTAGCTCCCTGGCCCGAGGATGCACACGCCCTGGTTCATGCAGGGGTTGGGCTTGCACAGGTTCACAGGGCTTCTGGCTTCTGCAACAGCACAAGCAGAGAGCAGGCTCAGGCACATCTGCATTATTACTAGCTAAGAGCCACGTCCATCAGGAATGCTGCAAAAATTGTCATCAGGGGCTAATGGGACTGGAGAAAGATTTGAACGCGGCAGAGGGTGCAAGCCACAATTCTAGCTTGACACTTTAACCCAGAGAACAGAATGGCTTTTCTAGGTGCTTCAATCTGGAAAAGAATATTCCTAGTAAAGCTTAAAAGAGTAATTTAATGATAGACTGCATATCCCAGAAAAGCAAAATGGAGGATCTGCAGTGCTGTGAGCACTCCCAAACTCCCCACATCAGACATGGACAACACAGCAAGACACGGGCCCTGCTCTAACAGGTTCACAATCCCAAACGCCACTCAAGTTCAAACCTCACTTTGCCCCAGAGAGAATAAAGGTTTCCACTGGAGAGGAATAAGGAGAAGTTGCCAGCTGGGAAGCAAGGATGGCATGAATGGAAAACAACACAGGGAAAATTTCTGGGTTTCTTTTCTAGGGGGTTTGAGAGAAGCCTGCAAGCACAGCCCAAGTTATTAGCCCTGTTGTTATGAAGTACATGACAGCTTTCCCAACCCTCTCAACACAACAGAGCCCAGCTGTCAGCAGGGCTGGCAGTGTTCCACGCTGCCTTGCTGCCAATACATTAGGTTAAGTAGCAGCATCCCAGAGGAATTTGCTTCCAGTCTGCTGGCAACACCACTGCGGTGTTGGTGAGGGTGTGAAATTCCTCTGCTCAACAACTAAGTGGTGTAGAGCTGCTTGCCTTACTCTTTGCTCCAGGGTAGAAAAATCACAGAGAAAATAGAAAAAGGGGAAGGAAAGAGAATACAAATCCTATCCCCTGTCTTAACAGACATTGTGCTCATTCTCCCTCTGCACATCAAGTCTCAACCCACACCTAACGCTGGCAAAATTATAATTGAAATTATTTTTTTTGTTTTTTTGACTTTCCTAAACCTGACACATATCAGTCTTTAGCTCCAGTTGATTTTATAGGGAATCAAGCCAGGTTCAAAAACATTTTGTCATCATGGGATTTCTGAGCTGGGATCCTGCTTGAGAGTGTATTCCCAGGGACTGACACTTTCATTTTCATTGGGCTGGAAAAGTCACTGGCAATGAAATCTGGATCTCTTGGACACACCACTCATCTTCCAGGTGCTGCTGTTCCCCAGGGAGCTGTTAGCTACCACGAAATTCCAAGGGTCATGTGCCCACCTCATTCCTCCAGGGATGCTCCACAGCACAACCTCAGAGACCCTGTGCTGCTGTTCCCCAGGGAGCTGTTCCATGGTGCTCTGCTCCAAGGGTCATGTGCCCACCTCATTCCTCCAGGGATGCTCCACAGCACAACCTCAGAGACCCTGCTGTGGGGAATTATTCTGCCACAATTCCTCTAAACTCAAGCCTGCTCTCAACATGCCTTAAATAAGGTTCTTGCACTTTGATGATCCCAGTGACTTGTATTTCCATTCATCTGATTCATATATATGTAATGCTTGGGAACTTTTCTCCTAAACCCTGGGTGTTTTTTTACTGGACTCTTCAGATGAGCCTCAAAACTAATACCATATTCCAGGTATACAGAGGCAGGGTCTGTTTCTCAAATACTTTTATAATGAATCATAAATTTTTTAAAGTCATTTCACAGACAATGGTTCTGTTATTAAACCTTGGACTTGGGAGTAGAAGATGAGTGAAGGGCTTATCTTTACATCGCCCTTGGTCCCAGCCTATCTTGCACAAACTGTGATTTACCTGTACATGAAATGAAAGCAGCATTTCAGTCTCAGGAAATGATATGTTATTACCCTGACTCATTGAACCTTGCTGTCTCTTCCCCTTCACCCCTGGCATTTCAGCTAATTCCAAGGTACAGTACATTGTTTTTGTAGCAACACAGCTGAAAGCACCACTGCAACAGAGACACACTGAAAAGCTCAGGCAGAAACCATCTGCAGAGCCTGCCAGGAGAGCAGCTCCTCACCCCAAAGAGATGATGCTGCAGCTCTTTCTAAGCCTGAAGGACACAAAGGCATGCCCAGAGATGGAAAGGACCTCTGTGCTGCAGCTAAAATGTGCTTCTTTTGATCTTATAAACATGTTAAAACAAAGCAAATGGATAGATGTTAAATTTGGGCTATTTTGAATGAGAAAACAAGGCATGGTATTTTAACTAGGAGGACTTTCATTGTCACTGTCTGAAAACTAGAGCTGATGTCCTTTCTGAAAAGCTGATTTCTACACAACGTGCAAATATTTCAAATTCAGTATTAGAGCCTTATTTTTCACCAGCTGAGGACTGGCACTCATGACTCAAAGTTTTGAAGAAACTTCATCTTTTTTTTTTTTTTTTAACCCCAAAACAGGAGTTTTTACAGAAATATTTGAAAATTCTTCCCTTCCATTTTGAGGATAAGGATTTGGTCCTACAAATAAGATAAATCACAATTTGTCTGAAGGCTTCAAAATGGACAGATTGTGATTTTAAGATTAAATACAGGGCAACACAAAATCTCGAAAGCCTGCATGACAATTTCAGTAGTGAGATGTTAAGGATGAACAGGAGCAATGAGGTTGCAGACTCACTTTACAAACACCTGGTAACAAACCTGTTGGACAAGACAGCAGAGACCTCACTCAGGACCAGCACAAAAAAGGGGTCCATTAAGCCCCCCCAGAAACACAGAAAGGGTTCAGTAATACACAGCAAATTCTACAGATTTAAAGCAACATCAGAAAAAGACTAAACTTCTTTTTCCTTCAGAGAAAGCAGAACCTAGATCTAGCAGGGCTGGAAAGAGCCAGTCACACTATGCCCACTCTCACCCACTGGACTAAATCTTAGGAAAGCTGGTTACTAATTCCTGCAGGATTGCTTTGGGCAGTCATCAGACCTCTGTGTCATAGCTTCCCCCTCCATAAAACGCAAAAGATAGTATCCAGTTCAGTCAGTAAAGCATCAGAAAACCTACAACAGCAGCAGCTGGTGGCACTGACAGAGAGAGTGATGGCTGGAGGCTCTCCTACCTTCACAGATCCTCTCGATGATAAGGCCTTGGTAATACTGCAGGTCTTCGTAGGAGGAGACGTGGAGCAGGTAGTTGGGAGACCCAGCAACTCTCAGCAGGGTGTCCCTCTCTGTGTCCCCAATGACCACCACAAACACCAAGATGCCATTGTGCCTCAGCTGCTGAGCTGGGGCAGCTGCATCCTGCATGCCCCCTCCGTTGGTGAGCAGCACCAGCACCTTGTTGACGCCAGGCCTTGCTCCCTTCTGCACAGTCATTACGTCACTGTAAACGTGCAGCAAGGCACTGCCAGCAGAGGCTGAGTCCCCAAGGAAGGGCGCCTGGTCGATGGCCTGGAGAACAGCAGAGCTGCTTGTGTGGGCGTCCAAGGCGAACACGGTGTGAGCTCTGCTGCCATAGGTCACCAGGGCAATTTGGGTGACGTCCCGGTTGATGATGAAGTGCAAACAGCTGCTCCTGACAAAGCGCCTCAGACGCAGAAAGTTCTCCAGGCCAACTCCAGACGAGGCATCCAGGGCAAATGCCAAATCAAGAGACTGGGCCTGGCAGCCTGTGGAAAGGAGCACAGAGATGGGATCTCTCAGAATATGTATCTGCTCCTTTCTGACTGAAAAACAGCAGTGAGAGGAAATCGTGGGCAAAATTCAACACTGCTGATCACCGATTGTGAAGGCTGATCTTTGTCTCTTTCACACCCATAGGCAGAGATCCATCACAAAAAATTACTCGTGGAAGGTTAGTCCCTGGATTTGTGACTGACAAACAAAAACAAGGACATTTGTCTTTCTGTCCTTCCCTCCTCCCTGCTGGAATTCAGCACACCTCTGCATGGTTTGGCAAACTTTGGCAAACAGTCTTACCTTCAGGACTGCCCACACTGCAGATTTTTCTCTGCAGCTCTGGCATCCTGTTGAAGAGGTCCTGAGGGTCAGAGTAGACAATGGTCTGCTGTGGATTGCCAGTCACCGTGGTCAGCTCTGCTCTCATGAAGCTGCTGCCTATGCCAATCAAGAAGATATTTTGGTCCTTCACATACTTAGCGGCTTCTGCCACCGAATCCTGGGACTTGGAGTCAGTGAGCAGGACAACCACACGTGGGAGATCATCCTGCACATCTGCAAAGACTGGGGTGCTCCTAAAACCGTGCTGTGCAATGTATTGCAGGGCTCTGCCTGTCAGGGTTCTCCCCCCACTGAAATTCAAGGCATCAATGCTCTTCATGAGACTGAGTGTGTCCTTGTGTTGGCCCAGCTCAATGGGTACCTTCACATCATCATCGTAGTGGGCCACCCCCACACTCATTGGCGAGTCGTGGCCCACCACAGCTTGGAGGAATCTCTTGAGGAAGGCCTTGAAGCGCAGGAACCCTTCCAGTGTGACCCCTGCTGAGCTGTCCATCAGGAAAAGGAGATCCACACTGCACTCGAGGCTCAGCTTTGCTGCTGGAAAGAAGATTGTTGAGTTGTTGAGAAGGCAATCAGTCATTTGCAGGGCAACCCCAGCAGGGGCCAGCTGGAAACCTTGTGGAGAGGGGACATTGTGTCCATCAACCCAAACATTTTGCCATTCATATCATGAGCTGGAGGACAAATGAGCCAGGAGCAGGCTTTGTTTTGGTTGGATTCCATATAAGCCTTTTGAGACAAGAAATATCTATGGAAATTCATGAACTTTTGGATGGCAGTCTTAAAATCAGAAATTACAGCTCCACTCTTAGTGCTGTGGGCAGAACACTCTGAATGACACAATCACATACTAGAGAAAGGAGAGAGTCCAAGCACCAGACCCTCACCTATGACACCCTGAGACTCTGAAGCTGGAACCTTGGTTCTGGGGAAAGTAAGTACAAGGTGTTTTCTAATGATCATGAGCTTTTGGCTTTTTTACATTGAACCCCCAAAACCAGGAGCTCCTGCTGCACCCATGTGTGTGGGGAGGGGACCAGCAACACCCATGTCTCTCCCAGGGACTCTGTTCTCCTGATCCCATGGCACCTGCACTTAGACACAAAGGCAGCCGTGCCAGGGTGAGACTGTCCATACTGGTGCTCTTCATACCCACACGGTGTCTGAACAGCAGGACCCAGCCACTGGGTCTGACACAGCCATGACCAGCATGAGAGTAAACTCAGCCTGCTTTTTGGAGCAAAGCACAAGGACTGTGGCCCCACCCCAGCTGTCCCCAGGGTGGCACAAAGGGTGTCACCAAGGCAGGACTCGGCTGAGAGGGAAGGAGACAGAGCACAGGTTCATACCCACCACAGTGGATGTCTCCTCCATAGCCCAGCAGGCAGAGGCAGTGGTATCTGTCCAGTCCCTCTGGGACACACGTGCCACCATTCTGGCATGGCTGGGAGTCACAAGGGTCTGATCAGGACAGGGAAGAGAAAGACAGGTCATCATCAGGAAGCCTGCCCTTCCCATCCTCTGCCAGCACGAGCAACACTTTTAGTGGAAAAAGGGTCACAGCTCTGCCCCTCTTGCTAGAGCTTGAACTAACACAGGGCCATGTGTACCCTCACCTCCACGGTCATTTCCATTTGGGGTGGCTCTCCAGCAGGCTGTGACAAGAAAGCAAACCAGACTCTGACTTAATTTGATTTGGAACTATGCCAGTGACACCATATTCATATAAACAGAAAATTGTTAAAGGTCCTGCAGCCCTGACAGATTTTCAGCAGCAATGAAGAGGTCAGGGTCTGGCCTGCTGCTTGGACAGTATTGTACTGATAAAGAAAATGAAGCCATTTTCACCTGAACTTGCAAAAAGGACAGAAGGAGCCACAAAAATAGGCTGATGATCATCAGGCTCCCCACTAACCTGATGCTCCTTATGGTACCAAGTATGACTGGAGCATCACTGCATGTTCTGCTGGCTGGAGAACAGTGACTCCCTGCAGGCACTGGGAAGCAATGCAAGACTCTGCCCCCAGGACATGAACAGATGAGAATTCACTGGCTCCTCAAGTGGAGGAGAAACTACGGGGAGACATTTTAATCCAAAAGAACTCTGGTCACAGATACCCGTGAGAAACAAAAAACGGATTAAATATGTACTGATCACAGTGTCTCACTCAAAACAAAATTCTTGAGAAGTGAAAGTAAATCCCTGTCTTTTGTTCTTTAGCTATTACCTTTCCTGTTTCATAAACTAAAATTTTGGAAGAGCAAAATCCCACCTGGACATACAGTTCGGAAGCATCTGGATGGGTGTTTTATCAAGACTCGCTTCCACCTGAAACAGGAAGAATAAGACCTGTCATGAATTTAAATATTAACAAGGTGCCTTCAAGGTGGACCTTACTGTGTTTTCAATGGAACAAATTTTTCTTTGAAAACACAGGTTTTCAAAACAAGTATTTTTTTAAAAACAGTCCATTCTAAATGAGATGGCAAAAGGAAAAGCGTAATTTCATTGAATCTACCTATTTTTTTTTAATTCAACTGTAATCTTTACATTTTAAAATTATGGATTATTTTTAAATTATGGAGTATTTTTAAGACTCAAAAAATATTTTGTTTGCTTGCTTCTCTGCCAGTGATCAGAGCAGAGACTCTTCCTAGGACTAGAGACTGTTTGCATCAGTCTTCTGAGGAATCTCCATCCCAGTAAAGAGCCAAGGTGAGATAAAAGCCTCATTGCTGTATTTGTTATCTCTCAGGCCCACTCATTTTTAGAGCTGTGGGTGCCCAGCTTACCTGGTGAAAGGGCACAGTGAGGCCTGCACTGAATTGGGCTGCTTTGAGCCTTTCCAACACACATAGCTGCCAGCCAGCTCTTTCACCGTCTCCAGGGTCCTGCGTTCACAAGGGTGGGACTCAACTTTGCAGCCTGCAGCAAAGCAAAAAGCAAACTAGCCTCAACTGCCTGAAAATACAAAGGCTCTAAGAGCAGACAACTGGTTTCAATACCTAACAACAGACTGGGCAGAGCTTCCAAGAGCCTCTGTGAGACCTCAGAAGAGAGATTTCCTGTTGAAAAGATCACCAGCCTACTCCACTTTCTAGGAACCTAAATATTCGGCCTCCTTTGCTTTCCAATAAACCTCACACTGCTAAGTTCATGGTTCAGTGACAGCTTTTCAGCCCCTTTGGTGCCTTTATCATTCATGTGTTTGATTTTCTGCTACCTCTGGACCACTCTACTTCTATCCTTTCTAACTACTGCAAGCCCTGGGTGCCTCCCCTTAATACACAGCCAAGTCCATTAGGAAATTTAACACAACTGCTTTTATCCTTCTATCCCCTGCCACATGAGCAAAAGCCAATATTCCCATTTTCAGAGGTGAATCAGGATACAGAAAGATTTAGGTTTCTGCAGCTTGGAGGTATTTGGAGAGCATGCCATCCTGTTTGGGCACCAGAAGCAGATTACCTCGAAGTGCAACACCTGCTAATTCCCTGTAGGCTTCCTGACACTGCCTCATCTTCCTCACTCAGTGCCATGTCCAAGCTAAAGGCATGGGCATGGAGGTGTGGCCAGCAGGGTCACCTGGAGCAGTGGCAGTGCAGACAGGGTCACTCAAGGTGCTGTACAGGCCGTTGGCAGCATCGTCGGCATCTCCAGCAAAGAGCAGGTGCCGCTCAGGGGGCTCGCTGGCCAGCACCTGCAGCTCCTCCCACCTGCCAAGCAAGGCACAGGTCAGCTGCTCAGCCTCCCCCACAAGGAATTAAGAGTCAAAACCAACCCTGTGCAGCAAATAGAGAGTTGAAGCAAAACCACGACACTCCTCAGTTTCCATGATCCTGGCGTGTTTAGTCTCAGGCAGCAGCATAGCTCTACTAAGTGGAAAAGTTTCCTTCATCAGCTCTGGTGCTGCTTCTACGTCAGCCACCAAGTCAGTGTTTCCCCCATGCCTGTGTTACCCTGCAAATTCTTTTTTGTCATGGTTTAAGTATGGTATTCCCCAATTTAGTGGTCTCACTGAAACCAGGCTTCCCCTTGCTTCCCCTCTCACCTCCAGCTGGAAACACGAAAGGCAAAAATCATGGATTGAGATAAGAACAATTTACTGAGAACAAAAACGAAATAAGAAATCAAGCAGTAACAGCAGCAACAAAAATATTAATGACAAAAGATAAAAGGCAAAATTAATTTACTAGGAAAGTCTGGCTCAACACTGATTGTTTTGTCCACCATACTTTCTCCCCTCAAGGAAAGGAAGGAAAGGAAGGAAAGGAAGGAAAGGAAGGAAAGGAAGGAAAGGAAGGAAAGGAAGGAAGGAAGGAAGGAAGGAAGGAAGGAAGGAAGGAAGGAAGGAAGGAATGCCCTTCCTCTCTGAAGGAAGAAAGTCCCTTTCTCCCACTCCTGGCAATAACAAAACATATCAATGATAAAGTTACAGATTATCTCCTAGATACAACCAGAGCTACCCCTTCCTCTCTGAAGGGAGAAAGTCCCTTTCCCCCACCCCTGGCAATAATAAAGCATAGCAATGATAAAGTTACAGATTATCTCCTAGATACAACCAGAGCTACAGAAGAAAAAAAAAAAAATCAACCCTGCTCTGGCAAAAACTAGGACACCTTTTCTCTTTCCAAAACTCACATCTATCCTGAGACAACCCCTACTCACCAGGACTGGCCATTTCACTAGCTGGGTGTCTACTTCCCAAGTGGGAGACAAGAGGGACAAGGACCAATCACAAGGAAAAGACTACAATGTCGAGGAGCTTCCCCAATGGGAAGAAGACGGGAGTGACCAAAAGCTGCCCCAACAGGAAGGAACTGTCAGCAGCCAGGAGCTGTCCCACTGGGCAGAAGGCATCGATTACAAGATATGGGACAAACCCCTGCACCCAGAGAAGGATGAGGGTGCCCAGAATTTTGCCCAGGAGGGCCCCACCTCTCCCAGCAGTATGGGCACCGAGGTGGCAGGAGAGGCAGCCCATGAGCTGCCCAGAACCTCTTCTGCCCTGGGGAGTCCCACGGAGGATGAGCTGGCAGCAGCTGCTGCTCTGGCAGGAGCTGATGAGGAGGAAGAGCCCCCCGAGCCTCTGCCTGCTGAGGTGGAAAAGGCACCAGGTTCTCCTGCCCTCAGGGAGGAGGCAGAGAACTCAGACCCTGCTTCATGCTGCCCCCCAGACTGCAGCCAGGCTCTGCTGGATTTAGCAAGGCACATCAGCTGTGACATTGTGCACAAGGCTGTGCTTGTGATCCAGGAATCTGGCCAGGAGCCAGAGGAACAGAGGGACCTGGAGCAAAGCACGGCTGCTGAACTAGAAGCAGCAACTGCAGGAGGAAGAAGGGAAGAGAGCCCAATTTTGGCCCTGCACAGCCCCTTGCTCAGCCCACTGGGAGCCCAAGCCCCCAGTGAGGAGGAGGAGGAGGCAGACGAGGGATCAGTCCTGGCAGAGCAAGAGCTTGAGGAGGGGGCCTTGGCTGGGGAGCTTGAGCTTTCCCAGTGCGAAGATGAGGAACACACAGAACTGTCCCAAGGAGAAATCAATAAATACCAAGAGGGGTCCCAAGGAGAAGCCTCAACTGAACAGAAGCTGTCCCTAGAAGGAGCTGGTAGCCACCAGGAAGAGTCCCAAGGGGAAGCCTGCACTGAGCAGGAGCTGTCCCTATATGAAGATGGTAGGTACCAGGAAGGATCCCAAGAGGAAGCCAGCTTTGAACAGGAGCTGTCCCTAGAAGGAGCTGGTAGGTACCAGGAAGGGTCCCAAGGGGAAGACTACAGTGAGCAAGAGCTGGTGCAAGTAGAATCCAGAATCTATCAGGAAGGGTCCCAAGGGGAAGCCTGCCCTGAGCAGGAGCTGTCCCTTGAAGAAACTGCTAGCCATCAGGAAGGGTCCCAAGGGGAAGCCAGAATTGAGGAGGAACTGTCCCTAGAAGAAGCAGGTAGGTACCAGGAAGAGTCCCAGCAGGAAGCCAGCAGTGAGGAGGAGCTCTCTTTAGAAGAAGCCCAAAGCCACCATGAGCTCTCCGATTGGGATGAATCCATCGGGGAAGAGCTGTCCCATGGGGATGCTGGAAGCTACCAAGAAATTTCTGACTGGGAAGAGGCCATGGAGCAGGACCAGTCCTTAGAAGAAGCCCAAAGCCACCATGAGCTCTCTGATTGGGATGAATCCATCGGGGAAGAGCTGTCCCATGGGGATGCTGGAAGCTACCAAGAAATTTCAGACTGGGAAGAAGCCATGGAGGAGGACCTGTCCTTAGAAGAAGCCCAAAGCCACCATGAGCTCTCTGATTGGGATGAATCCATCGGGGAAGAGCTGTCCCATGGGGATGCTGGTAGCTACCACGAAATTTCAGACTGGGAAGAAGGCACAGAGCAAGGCATTGAGCAGAAGCTCTCCTTAGAAGAAGCCCGAAGCCACCACGAGCTCTCTGATTGGGATGAATATATTGGGGAAGAGCTGTCCCATGGGGATGCTGGAAGCTACCAAGAAATTTCAGACTGGGAAGAAGGCACAGAGAAAGGCCTTTCCCAAGAACACGTCGGCAGCTCCCAGAATCTCTCTGACTGGGAACTTTACAGCAAGCACGAGCTGCCCCATGGAGACATTACTAGCTACCAAGAAGTGTCTGATTGGGAAGAGTCCATTGGGGTATCCAAGAAACGTCGCTCCTTCCTGTACCGGGCGCTGTGGACGCTGCGGGGGGTGTTCTTCCCCTGCCTGGCCCCACAGCCCGAGGATTAGGGCTGGCTGGCAGCACCAGCCCGGGCCCTGCAGATGGCAGCTGGCCCGCAGCCTGCCCCCGTCCTGGGGCAGCCACACGGGCTGCCTTTGCCCAGACATGGCCCTGCAGCCCAAGTGGCCTCCCCAGGACAATTACCCATGTGGCCAGCCCCAATCCAGCACCCCTGGGGGACACTTGGTGCCATGTGACTCACAGGTAAAGGCCACAGACTCATCAGGATGGGAAGAGACCTTGAATGTCATCCAGTCCCACCATCACCCTGGCACTGCCTCCATCACCCTGAAACCATGTCCCCAAGTGCCACAGCCAGATGATGCTTGAACATTCCAAAGATAGAGACTCCACCACCTCCCTGAGGAACTTCTTGCAATCAATGCCTGACCACTCTGTCAGGGAAGCATTTTTGAATATTTCATCAGAACCTCCCCTGGTAGAATCCAAGGACATTTCCTCTCATCCCGAAAGGGTTACATGCTGATCCTTTGGGATTTTATCCATGGGGAAGGGGCACAGACAGGTATTTTGCACACTGAATGACTCCATTGCACACTGCATGACTTCACCAAGCACAATTCATCCAAAACAGGCAGAAGTTGGGTTTTAGAAATAGTAGCAGTAGTAAAAAAAAAAAACAAAACAAAAACAAAATACAAAGCCCAACCAAAATACAACAACAACAACAACAAAAACACAAAGAGAAAAAGAATAGTAGGACTAATAATAATATGAAGAAGTTTGAGAAGATAAAGAAGTAGTAGTAGTAAATAAGAAAAGAATTAAGCATAAGAACAAGAAAAAAATTAAGAGTAATGATAAGAATAATAAAAAGAAAAAATAATAAGCATAAGAACAAGAATAGGGATAATAAAATTATTAAGAATAAGAAAAAGAAAAAAGGAATAAGAATGAGAAAAAGAATACAAATAGGAAAAGGAATAAGAATAATAATAAGGAAAAAAAAGAAAAATAATAGGAAAAGGAATAAGAATTTAAACAAGAATAAGAAAAAGAAAAAAAGAATAAGAACTAGAGTAAGAAGGAATAACAAAAGGAATAAGGACAATAATAAGTTGATGTAGAAGAAGAAATGGAAGTAAATACTAGGAAGAAGAAGAAGGAGAAGAATAATAGGGATGATAATAATAATAAGATGATGATGATGATAAAATAGTAGTAATTGCAAATTGTTGTTGTTGTTGTTGTAATATCAAGTTAAAATACACACCTACACATCCTCTAGCATCACAGAATGGTTTCGTTTGGGACGGACCTCAGAGATCATCTAGGTCCAACAGATTCTCTTCTGCTCTTCTTCTCTCTCTCTGACACCTCTTTCCTATTTCTCTCTCCCTCACATTTCTTGTAAATAAAATCCATGCTAAATAAAATCTCTATGTTGTCATCATATGGTCTCACTTGTATCTTCATTCTGGCAGAGGCATCTCTCTATAAAACACATTCTCTGCCCAGCCTGTCTCCAAAGCAGAGGTTCTCCAGCCCTCTAGGATCTCAGCTGCTCTCCTCTGAACTCATTCTAACAGGCCCACATCCTTCTTATGCTGTGCCCCAGACACGGCTGCAGTGCTCCAGGAGGGTCTCAAACCATGGACTGAGAGCCACAATCACCTCCCTGACCTGCTGCTCCTCACTCCTTTCATGCAGCCCAGCCCAAGGGCGGCTTTCTGGGCTGGCAGCACAGATGCTGACTCAGGCTCAGCTTCTCCTCCATCCACACCCCAAGTGCTTCTCCTCAGCCCCTGCCCTGCTCAGCTTCTCCCCACACATGCCACAGACCTGGTGGTAATAACGCCACTAGAGCAGAGTGAACATTTCCAGCTGTCTTCTAATTTGTTCAAGGAGTTGTGCTATAAATAATTTCCTGTAATTGCCCTTAAGGGCTGCTTTTATTGCAGGGGGACCAAACCACAAGTGTCACACCTTCCTTGGAGCATTCACATTCTTTGTCTGCATTGACACAAACAGAACCTCATTTTCTTTCTGAACATCCATCCTCTGCCCAAGCACCTGATTCCTGATTTGCTTGTTCTAGAAAAGCATTTCATCATGCCCAAGTTCACTGTTTTTCCATCTACCCTCTGATTTTCACAGAAACTTTTTTCATTCTGTACTTGCCAGGCCTCTTTGCTTTGAACTTCTCCTCTGCACTGCATCATTGCCAAGCATACTCAGTGATCATGTGTTCATAGCAAGTCCAAATTTGCCTTTTTCTGACCAGATGTCTGTGAGATGTTTCACTGAATAGTGCTTTGCATGAGGAAAAATACCTGTGCATAGTCAGTGTAGTGACTAAATCTTGATGATTTAGCTCAGTACACTGTGCCCATGTGAGCCCTGAGGATTAGAAAAAATTTAATAAAGAGCTCAATAAATTGCTTATTAATTTGCATTTGGAGCTTCACTGGGGTTTGGCACAGTGAAAGTGTGTTTGAGGCATTATTCCAACAAGGATTTTCTGGACTTTACCTGCTGTCTTTCTTCAGGAACAGCACTAAGAAGGTTTCTCTCCTCGAACCATCTACTGACTGATATGAAAGAAATTCATATGAAATTTAGCTTGAGATTACCACCGAGTATGGCTGGAACTGGCCAGCGAATTCCAAAGCTATTTGGACAGCATTCACAGAGAGAGACCAGCAGTCTCCAAATAAATCACAAAAGTTTCACTTTAGTCTGGTGCTGCCTCCTTCCAAGCGCTGTCAGCTCCGGGCTGAAGTCAGGAAATGCCTCACTGGCCAAAGGCTCATCAGAAGCACATCAAGGAACCTCTCAACCAAGATGTCAAACACCCATTTCTTTTCAGAAGCCAACTGGAATCCATCCATAACTATTTTATCAACTGCAAAATGTCAGCTTTTCATTTAAACTAGACGAAATGGCCAGGCAAAAAGTAATTATTTCTGTTTGATCTGTCAGCATCCCTCTGTTGTCACCAAGGAACAGTGACACCAAGAAGCAGTGCCAGCCAGCAAATGCTGCTTCACTTTCTCTGCTCTCACAGACTTTCAACAACAACCAGAGAGGGAGAATGCATCTTTGTTTTCTGTAAGTTTTTCCTGTAACTGTACACAAGAGGTTTTCTTGATTTGCTAAACTCATCAAAAGAAATACAACAAAATCCAGCCAACTGATCTTGCTTGAAAAATGCAAAACTGATCACATTTGCTTGCAATATGTACAACATCCTGAGAGCAGCAGGTATCCATGGGAAATGTTAATCTAACCCTTAGTCCTAAAGCAGATCAGCTAAAAGAGCAGACATCCAGAGGCCTTACCAATACCTCATCTATCATCAAAACAAGTGCTGTTTGGGGGTGATTGCCAGATCCTTAGTAGATCCAGATGTATTCTTCTGAGATGGAAAGTTTAGATTTTGAGAGGTTCTAAGGACAGCTCTTCCTTGAACTTCTGGCTCCATTTCCTGGGGTCATGGGAAGACATCCAAGTCTTAACAGTCATGAAGAGAAAAGGTTTCTATCTGAAAACCTGATCCTCTTGAATTCAGCAAGCACCCACAGATATCTACAGACCAGCAGTTCATCACTGACTCACAGGACAAAGGAAATTGTAACCACCAAAAAATGAAGCAGCACACTGGGTTGCCTTAGCTCAGCCATGAGGGAACAACATGCTTGCTTTTCCATGGAGGATGTATCCCACTGCCTGGCTCAAATAGACAGAAAGACCTGGAAAACTCTATTTACCACATTATAATAGGACACTAAAAACTGTATCTCCTATCAGCTTTCACTAAGACAGACCAGGTTTCACATTTTTAGTGGATTGTGGATCATGGACCACAGTGTTCATTCACCCCCCTCCCTGGGGACAGCACACTGGTGTAAGCACAGCAGAAGCAGAGATTTCTAAACCTCAGAAACCCCCTCAATCCATAGGTTATTCATAGCCCAGAAAGAGAAGAGCTGTAAAATAAGCTGACCTGAACACAGTCCTCTTGATTCTCTCTTTCACTTCTTGCTTGGTTAGATAAGAATCCAGTGGGAATTCAAGGTGGGGAGTTGAGCTAAACTGTATCATTCCCACACGGACCTAAAAGAAAAGGTTATGGAAGGTTATGAAAGGTGCCCGTGCCAATTTTACTCTTTTGATCAATTTACAAACTTGGGAAGACTGAATTGTATGGAGCCAAACTATTTTTGCTGTTGAGCCACAGGCAGTCTAAATGAACTTAGAGCAGGAACTCCAGTATTATCTATACAGACTATAAACAAGGCAAAAAAGTTTATCTGGAAACAACAGGAGCCTCTGCTGCAGTTGGAGGCAGCTCAGGATCTATATTTATCCACTCAGAGCAGCTCATAGCCTCAAGGGCAGTAAGTTTATAAATAACACCTTCTACACCAACCCATTTAAGCACTGGGCAGGCAACCTTTCCATTACTGACAGTAGCTCCCTCTGGCACTGAGCACAGCAGGCAACACAAACCAACACTTTTTCTAACTGCTCCTCTAAAACCTTTTGCTCTAGTTGAAAATGCAAACGGACTAAATGGTCTGTACTAGGCAATACATCCAGAATACTTCACTGAAGCCTTACAAGAAGTATTATGGAATATGACAATTCCAAAGGTGACAAGACTATCAATTTTCAGTCCAGCCTATGCGAGGATTAAGTGAAAGACTAGAGGAAAGATGGTGCTTAAAAAACAAAGCACACCACCAAATCTGCAAATATTAAATATTCACTGACACAACCTTCCCAAAGACCTGACATTTGTTTGGAAAGGCTCTGGCATGGAAACAAGTCCAGCAACCATCCCAGCCGGCTCCAAGGCCCTCAGCTGAGGTGGTGCTGTGGGACTGACGCACACCTGGAAGCGCTGCCAGTCTGGCTTAACTCCCCTCAGATGAGCCCAGGATGTGTCACTCAGGCCCAAAGGTGCCCCAAGGCTGACTCCAAGGACCAAGAGCTGAAACTACAGCAGCACAGCACCCATCTCACTCTAGGGGAAGAGACCAAGCAGACCGTATCATTTACATCTGTACAGAAAGGTGGATAACTTCCCAGAGAATAATTCTGCAGCTTTCCAAGGAAAAGCAAGAGAAAAATTCAACTAATCTATGAGCTTCCAAACCAAAATAAAATCAGTAAAAAAAACCCTCAAATTATAATCTTTAACCTGAAGGATTATGTATTTTCTCAAGTTCAAAAGGAACTGCTTAAAACCTGAAGAACCAAGAAGCATCCTCCAATCCCACTGCTTCACAAACCACATCTTTCTGACACAAATAAATACTCTGCCCCCATGGCAGCTGGTTGGTTGAATTTTGCAGTTTCACTCAGCACATTACCACTGACCTTTAGATGCACTGCCAAGCTGTTTGAAAATTAGAGGAGATATTCCTGACACTCACTCTGTCTGGATGGATGTCCAAGGCATCACAGAGCTTGCCTGCAAAGTGCTTGGACCTTTCAAAGCTTCCTTTGCCAATGCTGTAGGAGCCATCCAGGAGGAAAAGGACATCTAATGAGGCAGAGCACTGCATCACTAGGAGAAAAAATATATACACTGTGAAACTGCCCATTGTTAGCCCTGCTCGGGAAGCAGGCAGCCAAGAGCTGAAAATCCAGACAAATTGCAGAGGATGGACAGGGGCAGCCAGTGCTCACAACCCAAATCCCACATGCACCCCTGCTCTGGCCTGCAGAGCTCCAGCTCAGCTCTCAGTCTGCCAGACTCAGCTCAGAGTTCAGAGCCCCAGCCTGGTCCCAGTGACACAGAGCAGCCAGGGCAGTGAATTATAGCAGATACAGGGAGAGGTGCTCTCTCAGAGAGGACACAGAGGGAGGGGGGAACAGCAGGGAAAGGGAGCCCTGCCCAGTGGGACCTGCAGGCTCTCCCAGCCCAAGGCACAGACATAAATCCAGGAGGCATTTACAAAGTCCCACAGACCCCAGCATGTTTCATCTGCAGCACATTTTTCAATTTTCTTATTTTTCTAAACACAAATTCGCTGAACAGCTCCCAGACACAGACAGAAAGACTTTTCATTAAAATCTGCCTTTTATCTCCTCTTCAGAGATGTGTCTTTGCATCACCCCTGTCTGCATGAACATAACTGCTTCCAAGCAGAAGTTTCTGAGGTGCTTTTGCTGCAGTGGAAACCCACAATTTCACTGACATTCACATTTAATTTTCATTCACTGAAATAAATAAATGGCAGATTGCAGACTATGAAGAGTCATTTTTCAAAGCGTTTAAAGGGAAATTTTAAAGCAGCATTCTCTGCAGCATTTGTCAGAATCAACTTCAAGGGAAAAAGAATCCAGAAGTTCAATAGAGATCAAGCACACTGACCCCTAAAGAGCTGTTTCGGCCAGTGATGTTACTCTACCCCCATTATTATAATCTTTTTATTGTCACTACTTTTTCCAAGTCCTTCCTGCTAGCCAAAACCTGAATTTATAATTAGGGTTTTCTAATACCAGATTACAGGGATTGAAAGTTGTGAGGCATTCCCTTCTGGGTCACTGGCTCTCCTAAGGGGGCACCCAGCCTTGCCCTGGGGCTCTGTGTTGAGGACAAGCTGCAGCACAGCCTCCCTGCCAGCACTGTCCTGGCTTGTCAGCCCTGCCCTGGGAGCTGGGCTGAACCTGGAGCTGCAACAGGGCTGTTATCCCTGCCTAAGCGTGCACAGAGAAAACTGCAGAGCCCCCAGACTGTGCTCAGCATGGAGAAACACTCCTCAGGAGGCTCTGCAGCTGAGGAGTGCAATGCAGCTCTTCCACAGGATGTCTGCAGCCCACCAAGGGATGCCAGAGGATGTGCAGCAGGGAGAAACACCAAACACCCATCCCTGGGATGGGAAGTCTGAGCTGAACACATGGTGCTGCAGGGCATGCCTGGCATAGGAATGAATGCACTCTATCCCTTGACAGACAACAGAAAAAAATGGGGATCAGGAGAGAATTCACAACAGAGTTTATCAGTAACTGATTGCAAGCACAACAAGGGAGCTGCAGGTGAACATGTGCCAGCCAGAGCCCATCACCCCTGCTCCCAGCAACCTGGCTGTGCTGGCTTTACAGCCTGAAAAAACACCCCCGTGGGAGGGCTGATCAAGGCTGTAATTAAACACAGCTCTGCAAATCAGGATTGCTTGGAGCAGGCTCTGAAGAACTGACAGAAACACCATCCAGTTGGCAAATAGCCAATTTGGGAAAACCAGAGTAGATCACGTCCCAGGAGAGCTAACACCAATGGGGAAGAAAGCCAGGCTGGGGTAGAGGCAGCCACAGTGCTGTGACTGCCAGAGCACTTCTGGGGACTAATAAATGTAAATAACTCCAAAAACAAAAAAAAAATTTAAAATGCCAAAACAACCACACCAAAACAACCAAAGAAAGAAGGAATTCAGATATAGAAAATGCTTCATAAAACAAACTTACACTGGCCAGCAGCTGAGATCTTGCCAATCATCTCCTGGCCAACATGGATTTGTTGTATACCCAACGCCAGCAAAGCTGTGGGATCAAACAGACAAATCCATGAACAAGATATACAGGATTTAACCTATAACAGCAAAAATGCTGGTATAGGTTTCACAGCTGCAAAACATAATTTGGTGACACAGCAGTGAATCTATGTCAGGAAATTCCTTCTGGCAGGGACACAGAGAGCAGGAAAATGACAAAGACATGACTGCAGCACACAGGACAGTCTCTCTGCTCACTGCATGCAGGGACACAGGGCAAGAATGAGAGCTAGGCCAGCCTTAGGCTTCTGAGATTACAGCCATAAACACTGGATAGATTTATGAACTTTCAATATAACATCACCTTTTCCCACATCAGTTAGACACTTCACATACAGATCAGTCACATGTTCACATTCTCAGAAAAGCTGCTTCTCCAGGAATTATTATCTCCCCTTTTGTGTGAAACTATGTTTCAGAAGTTTATCCCTAAACCTCTGGAGAGGCACTGAGTTGGCTCTCATTCCTTGGAGTGAAGAACCCTGGCTGGAGATAGAGAAGCTTCCCAGACAAAAACCACTGATGCAAAATGGCAGCTTTAAACATACCTTGGGAAAGCAGGAAAATGCAGATGGGCTCAAATGACAAGAGGTTCGTGGTGACAAATCTGGAAGGGAAAAAAAAAAAAAACCAACCAGAAACAAAAAGAAACAAAAGAGGAGAGGAATAGAAATATGGTGACAAATCTGGAAGGGAGAAAAAAAAAAAACCAGAAACAAAAAGAAACAAAAGAGGAGAGGAATAGAAATCCAATTCCCAAAGCCAATTTCTTTACCTGCAGCTGATCATCTTCTTCCTGAGTGTCTCAGGTGATGAGCTCAGAAACATTTTGTCAGAGGGCAAAAGTAACTTCTGCCCTGGGAAGAAGGGTAGGGAAGAGATTGAAGGAAAAAAAACCCATGAAAATGAGGGGAATAATAGAAATGGAAATCTCTCAACATACTCCTCTCCTTTCCCATCACATCCGGAGAGAGCAGCCCTGACAGGGAGGGACAGCCAGCCCTGCCTGCCCTCCTCTCCATGCCCACGCACACCTGACCTGACCTCTCCTCTCCTCTCCTCTCCTCTCCTCTCCTCTCCTCTCCTCTCCTCTCCTCTCCTCGGCACCTCCCTTTCCCAGCTGAGTCCCACCAGGGTGCGGGGAAGCCGGTGGAGAGCCCCAGAGAGCTGCTCGGGGCTCCACCGAGCACAGTCTGAGCTGCATCCCCCCGAGCTCCCCCCAGCCCGGCTGGGACGCCCCCGTTCCGCAGCCCAGCCCGGGGACCCGTCCCTCGAGCGGCGCTGCTGCCCATCCCCATCCCCATCCCCATCCCCATCCCCATCCCCATAATAGAAATGGAAATCTCTCAACATACTCCTCTCCTTTCCCATCACATCCGGAGAGAGCAGCCCTGACAGGGAGGGACAGCCAGCCCTGCCTGCCCTCCTCTCCATGCCCACGCACACCTGACCTGACCTCTCCTCTCCTCTCCTCTCCTCTCCTCTCCTCTCCTCTCCTCTCCTCTCCTCTCCTCGGCACCTCCCTTTCCCAGCTGAGTCCCACCAGGGTGCGGGGAAGCCGGTGGAGAGCCCCAGAGAGCTGCTCGGGGCTCCACCGAGCACAGTCTGAGCTGCATCCCCCCGAGCTCCCCCCAGCCCGGCTGGGACGCCCCCGTTCCGCAGCCCAGCCCGGGGACCCGTCCCTCGAGCGGCGCTGCTGCCCATCCCCATCCCCATCCCCATCCCCATCCCCATCCCCATCCCTGGGCTCCAACAACACTCAGCCCCAGGCTCTTTCACGCTTTGTGTTTTACAAGGACTGGCTTTCTGGGGAGATGTTTTTATGCATAACTGTCCAGCAAAGTCAATTTTCTGCTCATTTTTCCTTTGAAATCAGCGAGGCTGCCATCACATCGTAGGTAGATTTCAGTGACACTTTCAAGCATGCCCAGATTTAGACCAAATGTATCTGGTAGAGCTCTTGGCTTTCTATTTCAAACATGTATATTTTTTTTTTTTTTCAGATTAAAAGCACTCACTAGACCGATTCCTGATGGATCTCTGCCCCTGTCATTGCACAAGTAGATTTTTGTTATGTAGTTAAAGACAAGTAAGTGTTCTTCTTGATAACCAGCTCTATTAGTTTTCCCAGAAAATGGGTGGATTTTTCCCAGGAAATACTTGTCTCTGCAGCAAATTACATATCACTCTCATCAGACAAGGCAAGATACCTAAAGCAGGCCATGCTCAGTTACCTGCACAGGTACAAAATGAAGAGGGGATTAAGAAATCCCCTCTGGCACCACCCCACCAGGGATTACAGACACAATAACCCTGTCCTGCAGTGCCAGGTGCATCGAGCATCTCCCTTCAGCAGGCTGTCCCCACCAAACAGACAGTAAGTAAAGGGAGATCAACACAAACCACAACTTCATTGGGCAAGCCCCACTGTGTGTCCCTCAGGAGCTTCAAACGCTGCAAATTCCACGGAGGAAAGGTCATTCTTCTGCCATACCTCAAGGACATTCTTCCTAGGAGCAGTTTCCAGGGTGCACATCACCCAGAGCTGGACAAGCCTCTGCTTGCAGTCAGATGTGACAGGTATTGGGGATTTCACATTGTTTTTATACAAAACATTGACAGGTCAAGACGTTTCGCCAACTTGGTTTTATCTTGGGTTTAAATCAGCTAATCTGCAGGATGAATTATTTGTCTTTTAGCCCAGCCAGACTCTCAGCAACAGGAATTGAAAGAAAGCTTCATCATCATCTGCTGCTCATCAGCATTAGCCCAGGATTAGCAGCAGCAACCTTAGCAGCTTTGCTGGGGGGGGTGGGAGTGGGGTGGTGAGTGAAGGACATTTTCATTTTATCATCTCAGTCATGAAGATAGGGAATTTTAATAATGTCTACCTCAATAATGAGTCAAAAATAAATATTTTTTTAAACCACACTAAGTCAAAACTCCTATTTTTGTACCCAGATTCTCACTTGGACACACGAATATGACGGCAACTTACTCTTGCTAAGTAAGAGTTGTAACCATGTGCACTGTGTTTGGGGGAGAGAGACCAGAGATGGGAAAGAGAGGTAAAGGGGAAAAAAGCTCCTCTTGACAGGTACCTTCCCAACATGTCTTTCAACATTGCAAAATATCACTCATTTAAATCGGGGAGAAAGCAGGAAAGATTACACTGCATATTCATTAAAACATATTCTTAACAAGCCAAGCAGCCTCCTGTCGGTGCTGAGGAATGGCCCCAGCTTGCTGAGGGGAGCTCGCTACTACGTGCTCATCTGATGTTCAGATGTAGGGAGGGAGAGAGGGAACCAATCTTCCTGTCTCTTTTTTCAGTCTCTCTCAGCTTGTTTTCCATAAATAACTTTTGCTTTTTTCTTCTTGCCAAGGTTTGGAGGCAGTGAGCAACTTCTGTTAGGAGCCCCTCGCATCCCCTCTGCCCAGCCCCAGGCATTGCCTGGGGGCAGCCCACAGTGGGATCTGAAACTGAAGGGTGAGGAGGACGACAACACACTTCTCCTTAAAACAAACATCACAAATTTCACTCTAAAAGTTTTGACAGTGTTTTTCTCCAAGGGATAAACAGGATTAAATTTGCAGAAGATGCTCTGCAAAACCAGTTTATTTGTTCTCCCCAGCCCAGTTCTGCAGTGAGGGAGTTTTGAGAGACTCTTTTCCCTTGTACAGCAAAGACTCCTGTCCATAAAGAGACCTTGATCTTGCAGCACTGCTCACATGGGGTACTGTCAAAACCAGCATGCTGCAGATCAGATCCTGTACATGAGTTACAGAATAAAAGGCACTTTTCTGACCTGAGAGTTTTGATAAACTTACTGTGCAGTTTATTCTGACAGAAGTGCTTATGCTACTGACTTTGCCTGTGGCTAGAGCACACGCTGAAGATGACATGGTTGATACCCCAACACACAGATGAGAAGTGGGTCAGAACACACACTGCCTGTCCAGCACAGCCCTTGCTGAATAAAGTGGGGAAATCTGATTGCGTGGACGATTTATCTCACAGCGATGCCTCACCTTTACTAAGCAAAATAAACAAAAAGGCTACTCTCATTTCTTTCATGAAGCATCCGGACACATTACAGGTATCAGTCTTTCCTTGATTGTTAAGTCATGATCAAGTTGTTATTGTGTCTTTTGCAGAAAGATGTCTATTACAGACATGAGACACAACCTGTTGGAAAGCCAGCCCTGACAGGCTCAGCACTTTCCCCTGGCCGCACCCCAAAAGTGCTAGAAACAAAGTAATTAAAGCACTAGAGCACGGGCTGAGTCTGGTTTCCTGGGCGATGGGGATTATTTTTATTTTACTAACGCATCACGGCCCTGTTTATTTATTGAAGAGATTCACGCCGTGTTCCTGCCGAGCTGCGCCAATCCCCGCACTGAGCTCGGCATTCCCTGCGGGGGGACCAGAGGCACAGCAGCCGGGACTGCTCCAGAGCCGGGACGGGACCTGGGCTGCGGAACCGCCCTTGTGGGTGCCTCCCGTCCCTCCTCGCTGCCCCGGGGCTCGGAGCCGGCCGCCGCATCCCCGCCCATGGGACAGCAAGGTGTCCCGCCGGGACCGCCCGGCCCGCCGGGAGCCAGCCCCAGCCCTCCCCGGGAAGGCTCTCCCGGGTCCCATCGCCCATCCTGGAAGGTTCCCCCGGGCCCCATCGCCGCCCCGGGAAGGCTCTCCCGGTCCCCATCGCCCCCCGTCCTGCTCCGCGCCGGGCTGGGAGGCAGCGGCCCGGAGCAGCCGGAGGAGGAGCCGGGCGGGGCTGCCCTCGAACCCCGCTGCACATCCGGCTCCTCTGAGCGAGCGAACCCCCAGCACCTCTGAGCCCACACGGCCCCATGGCTCCAAGCCGGAGGTTTAGGATGTTCTCAGTTTAAAAGGGTGGGGAAAAAGCTCTCCGAGCCGCACTTTACCTTTTCGCGGCAGACTCTGCCCGACCCCGGTGCACCTGCGGGGGTTGTGAGCAGCCTTCTCCCCACCTGGAGTTACACCGCGACAGCCTCTCCTCATCCGCCACAGCCCGAACCTGTAACTACGATCTGGGGGGTGGGGAAAGAACCCCAGGAACACCCACATTGCTGTAGGTTACATTTAGGAGGAACACTGGTGTATCCACTCCTCCAATAGGCTCCGTACAGCCAAAACTGTCAGCAGCCCTGGAGCACGGCCAGCAGGCCTGGCAGCAGCACCGAGCACTACAGGCACAGTCACTCTGCTCACAGCAGCCCCAAAGGGGCTTCATGTGGCAATCAGGCTTTTTCAATGGTTTTTCTAATGCTTTCTTTTCCACAGAAAACTATTCCTGACCTGTGAGCAGAAGTACCACATTCACACCTGCTACACCTGGAGGAATGATGTAAGGGGCCTGTTTTAAAAATTATGTTTTGTTATTATGCTATTATTATTATTCTGTGCCAGTACTAGCAGTTACACAGAACTGAGCTCTTTCAGTCAAAGAAGAGCTTGCACACCTCTTCCCACACAAAACCTAAGTGATCACTAATTTTTGAATTGCACAGGCAAAACACACCCTTGTGTCTACCTCACAGTATGCAGCTAGGAACACATCAACTGTTAAATAATTTCAGCCAAACTTAGTAAGCAAAGTATACTCAAGTTTCCCCAACAGTGCTTCATATATCAAAATTATAAGGATAAAAAAAGCCTTGCTGCTTTGCAGTGCTAGGTAATTTTTATTAATTTCATACTACTCCCCTTTCAAAAGGGCTGTTATTCTAGATTTCCAGTTCACTTTTGAGGGAGGATGTGAACAAGTGAACAAGAGGTGTGGGAGTACTAAATCATCAGTGAGGTGCTTTGCAGGGGGCAAAGGCTTGTGCAAGTCACTCTGGTCCCAGGGAGTCAAAGGACACTTGACAAAGCCACAGTCTCAGTTCAGAACCAGGGGCACAAATAGAACTGCAGAAATTCAAGTGCAAGTATTCATCTAATAAGAATACTTGCACTGCAAGAATATGATGCAACAAAAACTAAGAGGCAGGAAAAAAAAAAAAAAAAAAAACCTGAGGCAATTTGAGTGTAATAAAGCATTAAGTCAAAGGAAAATATTTTGCAACAATTTTAATCTCAAGATTCTTCCAATCTGCAAAAGCCCAAACTTGAAGTATGTGTTGTAAGTGGACAAAAAGGCTGACCCTGCAGTTTCAATCAGCAAATGTCTACTGTGTTCCACAAAAACTAATCTGACATTCCTCAATTAGTCAGAAATACTGATAATCTCTTAATAATTTGATTCAGTATTTTTGTCATAGCCGGGACTGGGTCTTTTTTATTACGATGTGAAGACCTGATGGGGTAGAAATCCTGATGATGTAGCTACACAAAAAACAGCTTCAATACAATTCACTTCAAAATAACATTCACAGATGCGTATTATACAGCATAAGTGTAAAAAAGGAACTGTGCACATTGAAGTGTTTACTGATTTCAGAGAGAAGTACGTGTGTGCAGTCCAAGACAACATTCAACCTTTAATGGTACTGAAATCAAGGTTATGAAGAACAAATGGCAGTCTAACTTCAGACCAGAGATTAGGCTGAAAGATGAGTAATCAAAAGAAGATACAGAGTTTTTCAAGTAATATAAATGGTACCAAAGTGAAGTGAGCCTTACAATTACAATAATTTCAAATGCAAGTCTGCAGAACAGACTCACAATGTAATGACCATTCCATAAACTTCTGTGCATTCAACAAGAAAATACAAGCAAAATGTTTACTAGCACATGGTGACATAAGAACAGAACGAAATTTTAGCTTGCAGCTTTGTAATCCTCCAAGTTACATACTTGTGTCACAGTAACAATCAAGCATACAGATAAATGCAGGTACTTAAACAGCAGAGTTTCTACAAAGTCACCCTCATTTTTTAAGCTGATGCTCTTGATCTTCTAAAAAAGGAACTGCAGCAACTTGATGGACATGGAAATGAAATGGTGCATGTCAGAGACTTAGTGCTTCAAGAGATTTTTCATATCAGTGAATCCATCTGGATTCCCAAACTTGTTTAAAAGGAAGAGTAGGACTTGTTTATGTTTTTCAAGCTGTGGAACAAGCAGAAAGAGTTAGAAGTATACAATTCTGGGGTTTTTTAAATTGCTGATTTCAGATCAGGGTAGATGCTAATATGACAAACTCAGCTAAATACCATATTAATTCAAGAAATAGATTTAGTTCCTTTCTGTTGTAGAATCTTCTGGAGGGGGAAAAAGCCAACAGAACTGTAGCTGATTTCCCCTTGTCCATGTATGTGTCACTCCCCCCCATTTTTCCTCCTGAAGCAGCTTCCTTAAACCAAACTGATTAAATACTCAAATTAAGATTGAGATCAGCATCTTAAATTAGATAACAGAGAAAAGTGCCACTCCTGAGACTTCAAACACTTGAAAAATGAAGTAAGAGGTGTCTGTGGGGCAAAGTACAGACTAATGAAGTCTGAGTGCTCTAAACACCGTCCTCCCTCAGCTTCAGGGTGCTCTAATTATCACCATATATGAAAAAACCTGAGAACAAGTGTCAGGATACATTTCACTGAACTTCCATGTTTCAGTAGCTATTATTCCCCGTAATCCCATTTGCTTCCTACACAGGGTTTCTTCTGAATTCTGGAAACATAAAAAAGGAAGTACAGCTTGGAGTGAATCTTACTTGCACTTTTAATTCCTTGCAGCAGCAGTTGGTCTCACCTTCATTACCTACAAAAACCAAAGTGAATGAGAAAAATACACACATACATTCCTTTCCTAATTTAAGAGGTGACATCTGCATTGTCCAGGACTTTTAGAAGGAAAAGTAATTTAGCCACCCCGTGTGCTTACAAGTTCTTCAGAATAAGCAAACTGAAGTAATCAAGCCAAAGTATGTACCTTGATGTTCACTATGTGAGTTTTCAGCACTGCAGGATGTGACCAAGCCCTCCTTTAGCAGTTTGTCAGCTACATTCACATAACCATCGTCCAAATGTTTCTCCACTGTTACTAAATTAACATTTCCATTAATCCCTTTCACTGTAATTGTAACATGTTGCTTCAATAACAGTTTTTTCAACTTGTCAAGCACTAATGGAGACCACTCAGCTTTCTCTATTCCTGCAAAAAAAGGAAAATCAAATTTGTTATATAAATAATTCCTTTAAGCTATAACTTGAATTGTACATACATGTTTTGGAAAATATGATACTAAATTTTCCTAATATAAATAGCTTAAATTCTAGACATAATAAACTAAAAACATGTTTTCTAAACCAGCTTTCACCATGCTTACCAATATCCTATTTCAGAAGAGCATCATGTTGTTTACCAGTATTATGGAATGAACACTACCACCAGAACAGGTAAAAAATCATAATGTTCAAGAAAACCAGTCAGGGGTTTTTGGGGTGGGGTTTTTTGCTTATTTTGGGGAGATTTTTTTTACCTGCAAGTGAACATGTAATTGTCTGAAAAGGCAGCTTTAAATAGGTATCGGTGATTGGCAGCACCTTTGAAAGGGGTAAAGTTTCTGTGTTGCCATAGTCTCCATAGAGAACTTTCACTGCAGACTGGGAAGCTTCCAGAACAACAGCTCTGTACCAATTGCCATTACCTGAAAAGATTGGGACAAGAATGGTCACATGTGACGAATCATCTTATAAACACAGATTATCCCAAGAACAAGAAACTGTAGAGTTTCTAAAGAATTTTTAAATACTGTGGTGGATATATAAAAGGCCAATTGACAAGAAGCACAATTAAGAGATCCAGAGGCACTTTCAAGTTGGTGGTTTTCCTTTGTCTAAATCAAAAATGAAAGCTGTGTTTTACACTGGCCAAGGAAACGGAAGGACAAACGACTGTCTCACCTGAAAACTGAGCACAACAGGCTTCACCCAGTTTTGGCTGGAAGGGCTGTTTGTTGCAAGATCTACAATAGTCTTCCAGTGAAATCAGCTCCTTAAGGAGCTTCTTTTGATCTACAGGAAAAAACCACATTCACTAACCACATCTGGGTACAATGAAGAGCATACTTAAGCCCCCTGCTCTCACCTTTGACATTTTTTATATTTTCCTACTGCCCAAGATACATTTCTACACAGTTTAGTTCACTACACACATTAATTTTATTAATTAGCTTCAACAGTGACCTCCTACTGGTATTAGGAACAATGAACACTTTTTCTTACCTTTATTTGGAACTGGTACAGCATAGAACAAGTCTGGGCTTACAACTTCAGTTATACAGACAGACATGGTTTCATCTACAGCCAATTCAATTGACTTCCAGTGCCCAAGTGAGGTTGCTAATAGAAATTGTAAGAGAATGCAGTGTTACCACTGTCCTCCAAGCATACATATGTTAAGGAACTGTTATTTTATTTGATATTTATAATGATTTTTTGAATTTCAGACACTTCCCTTCAGGAAGACAAATATAAATCAAGATAAATAATGCTTACTTTGCTGTTCATAAACTGTTGGTATATAAAAGTAGCTAAAGTAAAAAACAGCTCAGAAAAAATAAGACCTTGAAAAGCAAACTTGAGAAAAGTTTCAGTCACAGAAAACTTCTAATTCTCTGATTCCTACAGAGTCAAACAACATTCATTTAAGACAAACACAGTCATTTTTAACTTTCTCTTTTTGTCTGTAATGCCACCTGCAGGGCAGCTGGTGTTCAACTGTAAGAACTGACAATATACCCAAAACTTGCATTGATATTAACTGTAGTTAAACAAGAAAATAACAGTTAACGGCTGGAATACTGAAAATTATTGTTAAATCTAAAAGTTAACATTCCTTTAATTACCTTTTTGGTCAACAGATGTGTTTGGAAAGTTATTTTTATCTTGTAGAACTTCCTTTACAACCAGGTTTTCTGAACTTAGTATCTCATTGATAATTGCTGGACAATCTGTGGAATTATCAGTAAGCATTACACCTGCCCCAGCTTCAGAAAGGGAAGTTACTGTGGCTTGAAGCTCTAAGCCTGAAGTGCACATATGAAATCTTCTTGTAGCTTCTGGATTCCATTTGCTGTTTCCAGGCTTTATACCTGGGAAGTAAGAAATG